TAGGGTCTAGGACTATTTCACATGAGGGCTGAGCCTTAGCAAAGTTCACTATAGCCAGAGAAGCAGAGGTGTCTACACACATGATTTACTAATGATGGATTTCTGATATTAGTGGTGGAAATAATTTAGGACAAGAACATCTTTCCAGGAATAATGTATTTTTTGCATAATTTTTACATAATTTATAGTACTTATATAGTCTAAAACTTTCCAAAGTCCTCTCATGAATATTCCTTTTTTGCTTCCCACCAAAAGCCAAAATGGGAGGAGCAGGTGGGGAATGAGCCCATTTTATAGATGAGGACACTGCATCCTTGAGAAGCTAGTTGACTTCTCCTAAATCTTGCAGTTAGTAAGAGATGAAGCAGGACTCAAACCCAGATCCAATCCTAAACCCCACTTTCTTTTGCTATATTACAAAGGCAATCATGTCTATAATACATAGTTTCGATTTTCAATTTTCAAATGAAAAAATCATACAAACGTGTGCATATGCCATTTTGAAGCCAAGATGTAGTATGACTTCAGAGACAGCAGAGAGTCCCCCCAGAAGTTGGAAGTCCTATAATCTTTCCTTTTTCTGGGTAACCTTAAGCTGGGTGCAGGGTAGAGTTGACAATCACCTCTGCCTCTTCAAAAATGGAAGCAAAAGTCTGTCTCAGCTCCGACTGATGCCTTTAACAATAAGCAGCACCTTTCATTCCACAGGAAGGGGCAGAATTAGAAATGCTAATTTAGTATAATAACAAATGGCTGATATAAAATCTTACTCTGAAAACAAATCTTGACAGGGGAGGAGCCAGAGAGAAAAGTCATCACAGGAGTCAGGACACTGTCTGAAGCTGCAGAGAGCCCAGGGAAGAGAGAAAGGCAAGGGTCTAAAGACCAATGGCACTTGCTCCTCTCCACACAGAGAGGCACAAAAAGACTGTCCTCTTGAACGCAGGAGAAATGCAGTGTTTCTCAAAGTGTGGTCCCCAAACCCGAATCACTCGTAAGTGCTGGTGAAAATGCAGATTGGAAGTGCAGATTCCCAGGAACCTCACTCCCTGCCACCAGCCCATCCACACACCTTTCCAGTCCAGCTCTCTGGGGTCAGGCACAAGAATTTGCCCTTGGAACAAGCTTCCCGAATTCTGTTGTGAACTACTGCTTTAGGGCCTAAATTAGATACTGGTAACACCGGTCAGGACTCACTTTTGCAAGACCTTGAGGAAAACATCTCAATGACAGTAACTGCGTGGGATATTAAACTCTTCTCTTTCCTTATCTTAAAATCATTTGTTATATTCTTTGAAAAAATTATACAGACCTCTGCATGTGCCATTTCACTTATATGCACCAAATGATTCGTATCTTTTTGTGCACACAGACTTTTAATTTCTTTGCCGTTTTTGCACAGCTCTCACTCCCTTTCCCTCTTGTCTACTCTTATCTCCATCACATCGTCAGTAAAGATCTGTTACATCTCATCTCTAGTCTCCCTTAGAATCATGCTCATGAATGCACGTACACACATATACACACACGCACGAGTGTGTGCACATGCACACTGAAACCTACATGCATACTTGTTGCTTTTTGTGTTACTAAAATTGAAACATATTTCATTTTTTTTCTGTATCTTGCTTTTTTCACTCAACAATACCTGATAGAAACTCTTCAATACTACAAGGTTTAATTCCAGTGTATTCTTTGAAATTATTGCAAATGATTTTACAGCATCAGAGTCTTGGCAGTATTGACAGACATAATTTGTTCCCAGGTCCCTGCTGCTATGGACAAAGCAGCCATTAACATCTTTGTATTTTATATAGATGTTTTACTTTGAGGGAATAGATCCTTATTCATAGGCTAGAGAACAGTATAAGTGTTAACTCCAACAATGATTAATGTCAGTATTTTGCAGGATAATATATTTTTTTATTTTTAATAACTCCTTCTAACCTCCTTTCCAAATAAGATGATTTTTAACCAGTAAGTTATATGAGTACTCCTTTCCCTTTTACAATTTCTGGCTATAAAAATTTATATCAGTAGCAAGATGTAATTAGCTTATGACTTTATCATATTGAATTTTTAAATGTCCTTCACTTTACAACATTGCAACTTTTCAAGCAGCATTTGAGTTTTGCTAACATTTCATGTCACAAGCAAATATGGATTGAGTTCTGAGGTGCTCTTTTGCACCTGTCTAGGTGTAACCAAGAAAACAACCAACCAACAAAACAAAATGAAAACAAGCTAGCTTCAACTGACTGCCCTCCAGATATTTTAGATTTTAGGTGGATAGATAGACAAACAGCCCAGTCTGATAGGACCAGCTTTTCTGCATCTGTCAGGACCAGTGAAGGACTGGGAACAATAGCTTTTCTCTTCATTTTTTTGTATGACACTTGAGGAAGAACAAAAAGATGTGAACTTGCTAGATCCACAGTCTTCAACCAGTTCTTGTTGATTAAAATACCTGGAAGTGTCCAGCAAGGCATCAGGGGGCACAGACATTTACCTGTGGCCAAGTCCAAAGTGCCATTCACAATTCATGGGAAATGGCAGGATTCGAATAAGGATGTTGAAGGGAGACTATTGCAGTAGAGAAGATGACAGAAGGACTGGAGAAAAGAAAGAAAGCATTAGGCCTGTGTGCTAAAGGGGGAAAAACCAGTTTAATTATGGAAGAAAAGACACACACATAGGATAGCTCACACAGGCAGAGTTGCTGTGGAAGCACATTCCAGGAAAATCTTAAGAGATTACTTTAATAATAAACCATGCATTCTTTAGCAAGCTATCACGGGATTAACTACCCCTTTCCTCGGCTGGAAATGTAGTTGTCAATTTTTTTTTTTACCCTCTCCCTCACAGGCAGATTTTATGCAAGAGGAAGAGTCATGTAAAGACCATAGGTTTTCAAACACTGCATTGAATTTTCCTCATCTTAATTTCCTAAACATTCATTTCAGTGGTGATAAGAAAAAACTATGGTTTAGGCAGGACTAAATGTTAGTCTGGGTGGGCTTGGGTGGGACTGTCCCTGCAAGGATGTTCAGTTTAGATCTGCTGAAAAGTAAACAACTTCAGTGGGACAGAAGACTATGTTCCCCCACGAATAAAAAGGGTTAAATTTACTTTAAATCTTTTTTTTCATACTGTGAGTAGGACACTGAATTGCTTCCAGAAGCAATATCAGCAGCCTAGAGATAGAAAAATACACTTCAAGTCAGAGTTCTTTGCTGTCGACTCTTGGAATTTCTGTGTAAAATGACTGTTGTCCATTTTAAGCCATGTGTATGAACCTACTGCTCATAAATGAACTGTTCTTGAAACTATAGCTCATTACAGATAAAATCATTTTCTTCCTTTGGTTTCTTAGATAAATCTCTTCCATTTGGTGGTATAGTGCATATGCAAGTTAACCTTTCTTGGTTAAAGTCTTTCTGTTTAAAAAACAGGTTTGGATGGTCACTTCTGATTTGAGAAAATATTACATATTGAGGTTACAAGAGAGACCCACTGTTTTTGATTGTCAAAGCCTCTATTTGCCTGAAATCAGCTGTCATTTTTCCAGCTACTTAGCCTTTTGAAGTGAAACAACCCCTCCCCCTACCCCCGGATTTCTGGATCTTAGAAATAAAGCACTATGCCCTAACATGTAGCAGAATTAAAGTTCTCTGCATGAATGCTTAAATGCTGCCCTAGACTACAGTTTATAGAGCTCTTGTCATTCACACAAAGTCATTTCTTTTTCAATAACATCAAATTACCTCAGAGGAATATTGAAAACTGTCAACATCATTCTGACCAGCCCTGCACTCCTGTGTTAGGAGATGACACAGGTGGTAGAAATAGAAGAGGGCAGGATGGTAGTATTCTCATTTTCTTCTGCTTGGGCTGCTCCAAGCCTGACCTACTTGAGAGCGGGGATTGCTACTCGCACTGAGCTGTCCCAAATTACACAGTGGCTTTGCAGTTGGGGCTAGGCTTGGTGTCCCATGAGCCCAATTTGAACCCCCAGTTTCCAGAGGTAAGATGCAGTGTGTGTTGCTCACTGAATAAAATCAATAACCCCTTCCCATCCAAGTCACAATATGGCATTTTCACATTGAGTACACTGCCTTAGACCAAAAGAAAAAAAAGAAAAGAAAAAGAAAAAAAAAAACAGGAACATAGACACACTTTTCACAATAATATAATTCTTAAAAAGCAAGAGTTTTTGAGGGTGTTTTACAATTGTTCATGAATTTGAAATATGGAGAAAATGAATTGCTAGCATGGTAAGGTTGACTAAGATACGTTATGGAGTGCCTTCTACTGCTGAGCACTGCATATCAATATTTTCAAATATTTTATGTCTTCTAGTTCATATTTTTCACAGAGGCATAGGAAATGTTATGGAAATTAGTGCAGATTATGTCTTATGTGTCTATACATGAATGTTCACACGGTAGGGCCAGAAAGAAGCCAGTACAAAATCCTTGTTTATAGCAGATATACTGCTTATTTAGGTAAGTTTTGTAGTCCTGAACATTTTTGTGTATATCGATTTCATAGAGTATTGCTTTTATATCTGCATATACAGGAATATATTTCATACATAAAGAATGACTGACATATACACCTACAGATTTCCCACCAATTTAAGTGCACCTACATCTGTTTAGAAAAAGCCACGAATTCCTTTAAAAGGGGCAAGCACACGTTCAACCCTGGGAACAGCAGATCTGAGCTTCTAGTCAGGAGAAGTCAGGAGTAAAGCAGCCCTTTGTTCAGAGGGCCCCGACGGTTGAGGATGACTTAGCGTGCCACATTACTCGAAGTGGCAATCCAGACAAAGAATTTGTGAAACGAAGGTCGGGTGGATCCCACCCCTTTCCTGCGGGGTTTCCCTTTCCTGTCCTCATTTGCACCCTCCCCGTCCCGCGCCCGCAGCCCCGCGCCCTGGCGGGCGGACTGCGCGCGTGCTCTTCCCTCCCTCCGCTCGACCCGCCCGCCCCCGTTGCTGGGCGCCGAGCCGGGCGCCGCAGCCGGCGCTCTGCGGGGCTGCAGCTCGAGTTAATAAACAGTTAAGTTTGGAAGACTCAGCAGACACGTTGAGGGGGAGTTACCAAGCCCAGGCAGCAAAAACATCCCGGCGCATTCCTGGGGAGTCCTCAGCTGCCAGCATCTGATTAGAACCATATCTCGCCGGGAGTGGCCGCGCGGCTCCGAGGCTCCCCGGCCGGCGGCTATTTAAGCGCGGCCCGCGGTGTCGCCTGCCGGCAGCCTGGAGGCTCGGCTCGGGGAGGTCATCATGCTCGCTTCGCAGTGGCGCTAGCTGGTTTGTGAGTAGCTTTCAAATCCTTCTTCCCTTAGGCTCCATTTTTTTTTTTTTTTTTTTTTTTGCGACCTCTTTCCCTCCTTTGCTCTTTTTCCCTCTCGGGGTGCAGACCTGGGACTGTTGGGGAATCTTAGATATTCCGGGGAAACAAACGGTTTTGTGGCCTGCCATTCCGCTTCCAAGGAACGCATTTACCTTTGGGTCGCACTCCAGATGTCCGGCTTGTGACATTTAACAAGCGCCTCCCTGTTGTGTGTGTGTGTGTGTGTCTGTGTGCTTCTTTAAAGGCTCTGCGGGCAGCCCTGGGGGGACGCTGGTGTGGCTGCGCTGGTGTGGCTGTTGACCGCCTAATTAACTCCAACAAGGGTGTTTATTTTTGCCGTGTGACAAAGGCTGGGGACGTGGTTTGTGCCCACGAGAAGCTTTTTCCTGGTGACTGACAACATATGGCATTAAAACGTGAACTTTGTCTTACACACGCATTCTTAAGAAAGTATCTGCCTAGGAGACTGAACAAACTTGTTTTAAATCCCCGAAGCGCAGAGCGTTTAAGTGCTGGTTGCCTGCTGGCTATAAACTGGCTGGAAAGATTAAGAAAGAATTCCAGCAAAGAGGAGGAAAAAATGAATGGGTTAAAGCCATGTTGCCCCAGTCAACGTAGCGGTTTTCATAGCATAGAGCTGACTCTGTTATTTGTTTCTGCCTTCCTTTCCTCTTGACTTCATTCTTAGCCTGGAAGTCAGGTCGCGCAGTCAATTTCAGCAGGGAGAACTGTTTTGAGTCCAAAGAGAAATTTAACTGGCTTAAAAACCCTTAAGAATCTGGATGTTATCTCCACCCCATTCACCCCCCACCTACCCCCACCTTTTCCTCTTTCTTTTTAGTTTGTGTTTGGAAGGAAGAGAGGCACTCTGTAAAACGAGAAGAGCAGATACAAGCTTCCAGACACATGGAAAGACTTAAAAATTATGGAGGGGCGACTTCATGAATAGTAAATGTTGTTATTGCACTATAAAGTGACTTAATGAAAAAATTTCTGGCCCTAAGCAGACAAAACAGGGGAATGGGGGAGAAGGAGGTAAGACAGAACTAACTCAAGCAGATAGCAGCTACACAAAAAAAGGCCTTTAAGATATCTGATAAGGCTCTTGGAACGGCTTTGATGGGATAGATAACTAATCTTTACAGGCTTGAGGTTGTCCCCCCACATAGGAGCATCTACTGGCTGTTGGGGAGGGAAGAACTAGCTGGAAATGGGGGAGCATTGACCCATTTCCAAATGGCCTGTCCCCAAGCTCTATGACATCTCCACACTTGGTTCTTAAGCCAGCGTTGGACCTTGGGTAGGATGCTTTTCTCTGGGCCCGTTGCCCCCCACACCCCTGGTTCTGTCTGCCTCTCACTGAGGGGAGATAGGCCTCAATGACTCCGTAGGAAAGTTTATTGCCTTGAGAATTCAGGAGTATTCGGGATGAGCTGTCCTTCTTTGAAGACAGACCTTTTTGGTGAAGTGCTGGGTATGTGGCAATAAACAATACCGCACTTAATAAACGTGGAGTGTGCAATGTCAACCTTCTCCTAGAGAAAGCGCAAAGGAGAACTAGATTACCTAGACAGATTACTTCTTCTAAATTGCCAATCAGTTTCCTCCTTCGGTGGACTGGATTCTTTCTCCTGTTCTTGGTGAATAACTCAACTTCCCCCTTCTCTTCCCACTCCCAGCTCTAACCTTTGTTACCCAAATAACTGCCCTAGAAACCAGTTCTTTGAAGCTATAGTCTCCTAAGTTGTCATGTATTACAAGAGCAAGTAGATGGTAATGGGATGTCTTCCAGCTTTGAGCTGTGACATATGTAGCTGCCATTCCAGTGATATTGGACACAGTTGATCTTCACCTGAGGATGTGAGGAAGGAAAGGGAGCCAGAGTACTTAAATAAAAGCCCTGCCTAATTTAAGGACAGAATGCAGAGTCTGCATTTCCATTCTAGACTTTTTATAGTTTTAGATTCAACTAAAAGTCCAAATTGCTGTGCATTAGGCTGACTGCCTTGCTCAAAGGTTGAGTGGATTTCAGGCACCTTGTTTTGTTTGAAGGAACTGCCTTTAAGACACTTGCTGACATGAAGGTGGTACAGGGACCCCTGGAAGCCCCTGCCTAGCTGATTGGGGGTGATAGGTTTTGGTCGGCATGGCCATGGCTCCATTACCAGAAAATAAAGAGAGTATGAAGATAACATGCCTTGCTGCATGGTACCTGGGCAGTAGGAGGCTTTATGGATATGTGGGCTCTTGGTGGTACTGTGAATGTATGCAGCCTCATTTCTAATTCTACCCTTCTGTGTCTATAAGCTTAAGCTTGCTACCACCAATAATTTTTACCTGGATGATTTTGCAGACTTCACGTGTTTCTGTTCCTCAGTCTCTCCTGACTTGAGGGTTTAATTAATGCTTTCTCTTAAAGGCAAAGCTCACAGGCTGAAATACTTGAGAAGGCTGCTGGAGACTGAGCTCCCAGCAGGTGAAGCTGCCCTCCTGGGTGTCAGAACTTGCTTCCCCAGGTGGAAAGTCCTGAAGCACGCTGGTTGGGGAGGTTTTGGTAACTGAACACATAAGGTTTTCCACTCTCCAGAAAAAACCAGAATGAGAACTAGGCTGGCAGGGTGAAACACCTGAAGAAAAGGATGTGGTATTTAAAAATGCTCTCTGGTGCTCCTGTGTGATTCTAAAATTGAAGCTGTGCAGCTGAACTGCACCAAGGTAGACCAGAATCACACTTAGGTGGGAGAGCTGGAACATCAGGGATGTACGTTTAATGGAAACCTAACTCGTGGTAACGGGTCCTGACTGGATTAATTGTGTGAACTGGAAGGAAAGCAGACCAGCAAGTCTCCTCTTCTTCAAAAAACATGCTTATTTCTGATGAGGGGAACAAATGATGCAGGGAGTGGGCACACAGAGCTGGCATTCCTGCCACCTGCTGCCTGTCACCTGGCACAACCGAGCAGGGTTTGAGAGCGTGGCTTCTGGAGACCCACGGCCTCCGTTCGGATCCCAGCTACCCCACAGCTGCTTAGGTGACCTTGGGCACATTGTGTAACGTCTCTGTGCTTAAGCTTTCTTATCTGGAGAGAATAATCGTACCTACCCACAGGTTTATGGGGAAGATTGTTAAATCTACTATGCTTAAAATGCTTTAGTCCATCTTAGAAATGTATGCTTTGTTTTGTTTTTGCCCACTACACAACTGAATTATGTACCTTTGTGAAACTGAAGGCACAGTACAGAATTTCTTCGTCAAAACTGGACACTGCTCAACTACCTGAAAAATGTTAATCATTCCAGCACTTAATATTAACAAAGCCAGCATGCTTGCTGTGCTCACGCTGGAACAGACAGGGAGTGTCTCTCTGTGCTCCCCCTGGAAGCCTGCACTTTGGTGCGGTCAAGCTGACCGCCTCTGGCCTCCTTGAAGTCTTCTCCACCCCTCCCTCTCAGACTCCCGATAGAGATGGAGAAATCCTTCTCCCAAGTCAGCACTACTGCAGAAGGAAGTGGGAAGGGAGGGACCACCCATACTAACTGAGGGACTGGGCCAGAAATAAAAAGCCTTCAGTGCTGTGCGCAGCCCCATACTCTCCTTGGCCACAGAGCTGGGCAGGTTGCCATGGTTACTCCCCTTCTGCATCCTTCTCCTGCCCTGGAAGGAAGGCTGCCACTCTTGGGTAAGCAAAATCTGAACAAATTGCTTCCTGGCCTAAAAATGGAAGTTACTTTTCATTAAGGAAGATAGGATCTTCTGTCCACCTACCTCATCCTTTTCCTCTTCTCAACTTATTTTAATCCTAATATTCATTGTCTAATTCTTGCTAATTCTTACATCATCAAGACAGCAAAACATGAAGGCTTATGAAATTTCAGGAACATAAGAGCTATTGTCTCCATATAGAAGAAGACTGGCAGTTTTTCTCTGCTTCCATAACTTATACAAACTAGCTAGGGGCAAGTGACCTTCAACTACCTTTAACTAGTATGAATTCTGAGCATTCAGAGCAAACCAAGTGAGTTTTCTGCTGTAGGGAAGTTACCAAGAGGTAGAAAGCATGAGGGCTGCCACTTAGATTTTTAGGTAACCACAGAGTAAAGGGAGCAGGTGGAAGAGGAAATAATTATTCTGGAAGAGTGGTGTTTGAAACACTGTTCAACTGGAAAGAAATGAAGGTGAGGGATATGTAGTTCAACGTTTTCTCTGGGTAAAAAGTTACCCTGTGGCTCCTTTGCAAATGTGATGCAAAGTGTTACTCTGAAACAGACTTAGATCTTTATATCATGGGTGGACCCCTGTAAGTTCTCATTTAATAATCAAATTCATTCAGTCTTTCAAGGACACCTAGTTAGCATGGGGTGTATTTCACAGCTAGAGAGAACTTACCTAAAACAGAGATTCTCAGAGTGTGGTCCCTAGACCAACAGCATCAGCATCATCTGGGAACTTGTCAGCAATGCAAATTCTTGGTCCCTCTCCCAGAAACACTGAGCCAGAGTCTAGCAGGAGAATCCATCCAGCTGTATTTCAACAAGCCCTCCATGGGATCTAAAAGTAACTTTCATAGTTCAGTTGTTCAGGGGAAAGCATAACAAAGTGTCTGAATTCCAACAGTCATGGAAATAATAAAGCAAAATATTTAAGCAGCACTCAGTTTAACCGAATCTTAGGATGCAGGAAGATGAAAAAGCACCGACCTTGACGTTTTTCCTACTATGGCAAGTATTGCTCTCTTGATCCTAGAAAACTGATGCACTCCTTAGTTTTATATTATCACCTCACTTCCAAATCCTTCCTCTCCTTTGGGATTTTTATAGTGCATAATTAACCTCCATTTATTAGGATACTGTCCCAGTTACTTCTTTTAAAAAAGATTCTAGTAAACTAGATCATTATCCTTGAGCCAGATGATTTTTTTCTAACCTATAAACTTTTTATTTTGTTTCTCGTGCCATGCCCA